GTGATCTAATGTTGAAGTATAGGACAAAACCTGATCACCGAAACTGGGGGGGCACAGGAGCAAGGAGGACAGGGAGTGTGCGGAGAGCCAGGGTCGGCAGAGGAAAGGGTGACGCAGAGACACCAATGACGAAGAGGGCAGTGGAGACACATCCGGAGTGGTGGCACGTTCAGGAGACCCCGGAAAAGACAAAGAATCTGGTGAGATCAAACATGGCGGCACTGGGGGAGAGCTCAGGTTAAAACAAGAGTCCGGACAGGAAATAGACGGCAGAGAAGAGGAAGTGGGGTTTGGAGTAGGAGATAGGAGCGAGAAGAGACAGACAGACAGCACTGTAACACAACAGCAGTAGCAGCAGTAGCAGAAGTAACAGTAGACGGTGCAGTCTTGGTGGTCACTCTGTCCCATATATTGCTCATAAGTTGGGTTCGCACTACTGGCCTGTCCCCTTTGTGTCTGCTGCGGTTTCCGAGATTGGCCCTGAGATTTTCGCGAAGGCAAAGGTCGAAGGTGAACAGTCCGGATTACCTGACCTCGAGGTTTAGCTGCTTTAGTCTTGCTGCTCCCCGTTCTACCAGACATTGTTTTCTTAGTTTGACGAGAGATGCCCATTGCAGAGACTTGTCAGTTTCCATGTCTGACAGAATCGCTTCATTTCTCTCTTACTCTTTTAAACACATGGCACCTCTCCGGAGACAGCTCGACAGCCAACCAAGTCCTTCTCCTCCCTCCCTTCCTCCACTCCCCTTTGTAAGAAACTGTCTCTTTTTGATCAAGTTTGTGGATGCTTAAAGCCTGACATACTTGCATTCGTGGGAACTTGACTGCTGGTTGTTTTTTATTTTCGCTCATCTCTAAAAATATTCTGTTCCGAGAGTCCACAGAGTAACCCAGACTTAGAGAATTGGGTCATGAGAGAGCTTCTGTTAAGTGCAGCTTTCCTCCCTTTGCATCACTCCATCCCTGAACACTATGATGTAATGTTTTCAGCCAGATATATGTTATGTTTAAAGAAAGATGTAAGGTGTTCCGAAACATAAACACATGAGCAGTTTGCAGAGAAAGATGGAGATGGAAAGAGAGAGACAGGGTGATGATGAAGGAGAGGCAAAATGGGGTGTGAGACAAGGCACACATGAGACACTTAGAACGGCCTGAAATAGATTCCAATTATAGACGGGGCAAAAAAGAAAGAGGAGAGAATGAGGAGTGAGGTAGTGATGATCGTAAATGTGATGTGGAGGAAGAAATCACATGCGAGAGGTGCTAAAGAAGGTGCAAAAATTCACCCGGAGTTGAAAATGAACCACCTCGTTTACAGTACACTCAATATAGAGCGTAAATCACCAAACTGTGTACCATATAATTGCTAAAATGTTAATCTGAGGGTAGCCAGTAAGCAGGCAGGTGGTGATACATTCTTTCACTCAGGAAGAGAAAACTGACTATTTCTGTTACATTTCTTTAAACTACACTCGAGGCAGTGCGGGCCTTTGCATAAATAAATCAGTTTTTGCAGTTGGCTTTTTGTGTGCAGCTGGAGCGGCGGAGTGAGCTGGAGGTGCAATAAGGCTTTAGTTACAGGCTCACAAGTTCACCGTTTATCACACTTCGACTGGTGCTTGTGCAGACATTGACACCAAGGCCACAAACTCAAAACTGGTCTGAGCTACAGGTTCAGTTCTACTATCAGAATGTTTACTTTGACTTTACCACATATATCTGCTTTGTTAAATAATGTATCTGCACCATACAGACGATACTGGGATCTCTAATTGAGGTTTAGACATAAGGGTGTAATTTTAAGTAGCTGGATGAAGCTTCAGCATCTAGATAGCACCTATCACAGTGTGTTTCAGCAAATTGATGACCTATTATAATGAAAGTCTATCTATAATAGAGTCTGTGTAATCCTTCTTCCAGAAGTGGTCCATGCTAGAAAAGGTTTTAAATGCAGTCATCTGAACAATGCTTCTTTTTTTTTTAATTGAAACATTTTGACTGCCATCTGGAAGGCACTAGACTGAGAAGCTAGAATTTATACTGCCCTGAGTCATGCCCTCAGGGAGGGCTCTGACTGTTTACTTGCTAGCCTAGTTTCTAGTAGTTCTACCCTATTGTTTTTTACAACTCAGGTTAAAAATGACTTCTGAGTAAAAGTGAAACATCTTGATTTCAAAAACATTGTCCAGAAGGACTATCACTGAAACCTTTTCTATCTTTTATAAATCACTAAATCACTAATTACAACACTTTATGCTTTCTGTTTAGAAATCTTTGCAGTATTTGACAAAATAGTATTATGCTTTAATCTTACAGTAGAGAAACTAAAATGTTAAGGCAACTCTTTTTGAAGGCATACTCAAGTAAGAATCCATGAGTGCCACCAAGACTTGTTATATTACTGATTACTGCTGATGCTACTGCTGTTAACGGTGTTGTTGACATGTTCTATTGCCCATACTCACTTGTTTGGTCGGACTCTCTCTCCGTGAACACTTTGCCACCTTCCGACCTTGGGCCCCTCAGACATGCTTCTCACACTGTCGCTGCGATAAGGACCCACCCCATCATCCCCATGCCCCGTCGCTGCCCCCTTCTGACCCCCTGACACCGCCCCACTGAGAAACACAGGGCACCCCAGGAGCACAGGAAAAAGAGAGACAGTAGAAAGAGACCACAAAGTGTCAGGAAACATAACAATAAATAAAAAAACACCAATGTGACCACGAGGGGGCGGGGTAGAGCAGGGTGAGATAACAAAAGCCGCAGACCAGTGGACTCAAGACATTCAGAATATATAAGGGTTAAAATATAACAGAGCCCGCAGAGGATGGAAAACCAGTAAGAAGTGACTAAGTAGAGTTTGATGAGGGGGCATAAGCTTGGAGAAAATATTCAAATCCTTCTGAAAGTCCTCCAAAGTGACACTAAGTTAAATGCCCTGTAAAGCGTTGATGACTTTCTATTTTTAGATGCAATAAGTCAAGATGTGCTCACCTATTAAAGTCAGTAGCAATGAAAAGATTGTGAGAGTGTGAAGGGTTATAGTAGTTAAAGTCAAATAGGCAATCTGACACTGCCTATATTAATGACCAGTCACACTAACGTTCTTCCTAAAAATGCTTGAAATGTGAGTTTGAACACAGCCAGACTGAAGCACAGTAGTGCCCTCTGGTGACATGAGCAGAGTGCATTGATATGCACAACAGTGCTGTGGAGTGACAGGACTCACATGACACTGTTTGAGTGCACGATTGGCCAGATAAAAAGGGCTTTGTCGACGGTGCTTCTGAAGGTCACCTCTCACATTTAATTCTGACCAATTGACCTGACAGTACATTTGGATAAGTCATCAATCACAACAACAGCACAGATGACACTGCAGGAGCAACGGTCAACACTGGAGACATGGGCCTCATTTATCGAGCAGCCACAAGGTGAACTCAGAAGCAGAGGGAGCCCAAATGAAAAGGGCATAAATTCTGTGGATTATTTACAATGATTTACAGACTCCAGGTGTCTGCTAGATAAAATGTACAGCTAAATAATTTTTACTCACAGAATTCTCCACAGTCAATTAAAAGATTAGTTAACTTGACTTTTTAAGCATTTTTTCTCTTTAAGGGGATTGATTGTTAAAGTGCATTGACCCTTTTGATAAATGAGGCCTAGTGTTTAGTGAGATATTGAAAGCCGCTGATCTGGATGGGAAAGGTTTTCCCAAGCCTCCTGATTTGAATGTGGCAGAGTCATGAGGTAATTTTTGTTTGTTTTTTATTTAAACATGATGCCACCCCGATAACAAGAGTGTTTATTGTAGCAAGGCCATTTATTTGCCAGTGTTGGAGTGGACAGGAAAATGGCTGCTTATGAATGACAATCTGGAGAGTTTCATGAAAAATTGACTTCTCAAAACAACTTGTCTTATTTCCCCAGATCAGCAGCCATCATCTTAAGGCAGAGTTTCCAGACAGTAATCCATATATCCATGGCACTCACAAACACAGTGCTGCACCCGCCTTTCTCCAGGCAATTTAACCAGCACCCTCAGCACTCCATGAGCAGTTATTAGACAGTTTATCAGGCTCACACTGGTCACACTGTGTCTGGGCTTACAGGCCTCAGAGCCAGCGGCAGATAGCTTTGACCTTGCTCCTGCTTTATTGGATTCAGGTGCCCAGTAAGTAAAAAATGACTCACATCAAGTAAAACACCTTATCTTTCAATATGACGGACACAGTTCAAGTGCTGGCATTACAGCATGACACATTAGATATTATATATATATTATATGAGGCAGACGCTACAAGACTGTCACACATGCACACTGCACCGTGTGCAACGGTCAACCCTCCAGAACACATCCGCGCTACACACAAGAGGACACAAACACAAAGAGAGGTTAAGTCTTTAAGGAGGGAAATATGAGGGTTGTCCGTCTCCATGGTTACAGCCCATGGGAGAGAGGTGAGAGGTTAGAGGTTAGAAGTTAGTGGGACCAGCAGGGCTGTAAGGAGCAGGCGGCAGTTCATTAAAAGGTGGCGAAAGCGTGGCAAGGGAGCAGGATCTACCCCGCAGGGTCTGAGCTGCTCCACGCTACAGCCTCAGTGCCAGAGCTGAGCTGGGACGTGCTAAAGTGTGCCTGTGACATTTTCTTGGCTCCACAAGATTATGAGTAATTGTGAATAAGGGCCGTGCCCTGCAGTGAGCATGGACTGACATGTTATTGTTGTGGTTATTAGAATAGTTGATGGGACATCCATTATGTAACAGTAAGACATATGAGCACTCTGCACTTCCAATTTCACGTCTGAATTTCTTTATTCAAAATGTACTTGTTAATAATCCAGATAATGGAAGTAGATGCATTTAACTAGCTGTCAGGCTGTCAGAGTTATTTGTTCGAGGAGCAGCTGTAGTAGCTGGCTTAGAAGCACCGCTGCTCTGTACAGCCCTGCTCAGTGGGATTGTGTCTTACCAGACCAGACCAGACTCACTTGAGTGTGAGGCGAGGATCTCCATAGGGGGCATAGGGAGAAATGTTTAGTACGAACTCCTTGGGCGGATAGGAGCTCCACCTCTGCTGCACTGTGCTGCTGTCATTGTTATTCCAAAAGTCTCTGTCTAGATCACTGTGACCAAAGAGAGAAACAGGTGAGAGCAACAGACCAGCCACCAGGACGACACACGCTGAGGCTCTGGTACTGCAGCATTAGACATTAGACACAACACTCCAAAACATACTACCTGCTGTTTGCATTTTACAGGTTTTGTTTACAAATCAAAAGGGAAAGTCTGGAAAAGAGGCATTCACAAAAGCTCTTCAGAAAGCAAGCTGCTGGTGAAAAGACGCAAGAGAAAAAGAGCAGAAAGGAGGAATAATCATAATTGAATGAATACATCAGCGTGAGCTGGAGGTGACACAGCACAGCAGCACTGGTTAAACACATTATAGAAAGATGCCTGGTCTCCATTCTGGGCACGAGCAGAAAATGCATGGAAAACACAAGGCAGGAAGAAAGTCAGAAGAGTCATTCAAGTCACACGCAGTAGTGAGACCACAGGAGAGAGAAGCAGTGCACAGAGAAACAGTCAAAGCAGAAATGTAAAGTGTTGTGGCCAGTGAGAAGGAAAAGGCTCAAACGAAGCTGTCAGATCTCACATTCACATAGAGAGTACAGAGCTCAAACCACCTGTGCACAGAACCAAAGGGGACACCAACACTGGCAAAGAGGCAGAGACAACAGCAGGCTAAAGAAGACAATGATGAGCAGGTTATTAGCATTACAAAGCTGACATTTCTGCTGCTGACCCTACACCCTCAATTTATCACAACACAACTTTAATCTGCAAGAAATGTTAGTTAAAAAAAAGGTAATACATTTCCAAACCCCAATTTATTTACAAGATCAGTTTGAAGTGCAGCAGCTAAAGGCCAAACATGGAGGCCTGGCCTGGCAGCCGCAAGATAAGAGGACACTTCTCCTCAGCCAAAAGCATTTAAGGTAAAATACGATAATGCAGATTGGGACTATAGTGATTACAGCACTGAGCCTGGGGGTAAAGAGGAAGTGGCATGTTTCTACATTTATATGTTTAGAGTATGTTTTATGTCCAATTGTTGTTTGTTTAATTCTTTTAGAATAACTACTGAATGCTGAATGATGTTTATAGACTAAAACCTAACTAAACTTAACTAAAAAGTTAAGTACATTGCAATAAATTTATTTATTGTAAGATATAATTGTTTGTATTGAGCATTTACCCCTGAACTACAACAGCCTGGTACTAAAGCCAACTAGTCCTTATACATAGTAATAATTAGCAAAATGGTGAGGATAGGCTGATACATTGATCTATTGATACTTTGCAGAGACATTACGCTGGGGGTGCTCTACATGTATCTGTATTGGCAGAATGTTCAGATGTTACTATGGAGACAAAATGCACACTTAAATATACTAAAAGAATTTAAACACATTTTCACGAGCATGTGATCAATACGAGTGTTCATGGTCCTGTTTAGGTGTTTGATTTTTAACAAAAAGGTGAGAGCGACTAACTGAAAAACTGTTAGCTAATGGTAGTTAGCTTGTGACTGTAATATAGGGTGACCAGACGTCCCCATTTACCCAGGACAGTCCCAGTTTTGAGCCCTGTGTCCCCTGTCCCAACATATTTAGCCAAAACCAAGAGAGGCATAAATTATCATTTGTTTAGGTAAAATACAGAAAAGCTGCTAAAAAATGTCAAAAAAAGGAATAAAATGTGACTATACTGACTCACATGTTCGTCATGAATTAGCCCAATTCATCAGCCAGTTTCACTTTGTGGAAACCGTCTGACCTCGCAGCATTAGAATTTGTTCGCTTGACAGTAGGCAGGTACTTAACCAATCGTTGCTATTTGGTCATGATATATGTAATGGTTCGCTAACTGGGCTAACTGGTATATTAAGCTTTTCCCAAATCTCGTAGGAACAAGGGTAATACCATCTTTCCACTTGATAAAATTCACCAAACATTCTCTTTGTTCCAGATGATCTCGGGAATCGTTGCCAGCACGGAATATCTGGCTTCATCTACATCCATCTTGACCTCTTTGTTTACTGCTGTGCTTTACCATAAAAAGGGACTTCGCAGCTCTTCGCTGATTGGCCGGTGTGCGATCTACAAGTTCCAGGGTTCTTGCAAACCGTCTAGTGCAGCGGTGTCAAACATATGGCCAGGGGGCCGGATCGGGCCCTCCAAGACCTTTAATCTGGCCCTTGGCTGATTTTTTACTAAATATTTAATTATATTTTCTATTAAAATATTGGTAATTTTCTGTAGTGCTTAGCATAGCAGCATCTCCAGCGCCTCTGTACATGGCCCCTCCCACCAGAGCAGCACAAATGAAGACTTGCTCTTTCCAAATGCTCTTAAAGGACGGTCATTTTGACTGTTGACCGTGACACCCTCATCAGCAAAATGTCTAAAATGAGAAAAGTGGAGCCGAGTGCAGGATTCTCCAGGAAAAATTGACTTATTCCTATTTGCATATGAGTTAATGTTAAAACATTGTTTTGAAATTATAGTTTTCTTAAAGTTTCAGGTTGTTCATAATATTATAATATTTTGTAAAAGAAAGAGTTCATCAATTAAAAAAGATTTCTGTAATAGATTTGAGATTCTCTGCACAAATATTTTAACTTATTGCTATTTTTGGGGTTTATATGAGTTTTTTTCCCAGCCATTTTGGGATCAAAGTAGGTTAAATACGGCCCCCGAACCAACCAACCATGAGTTTGACATCCCTGGTCTAGTGTATTCTGATTCCTGACCTAGTCACTGGAGAGAAATGAAATTGAGCAGAGGCACTACGTGGCACCAGCCTGGCTAGTCATAAATGGTCTATGCATAACAATTTTATTATTACCAACCATCGAAAAAAAACAGGGACGTCCCAGTTTTTTTTTATTTTGAAAATCTGGTCACCTACTAAGAGAGCAGTGCTTTCAGTTAGCTTCACACCCCCAGGGAAAGTTAACCATTTACCATTTAATGACATCTGCAAAGTATCAAATAACTTCCATTCTACAGCTCTTCTCTTCTCTTCTATTCTCTTCTCTATATACTGTAACTGTTAATAAGAATGCAATCATAACATTTTAGTATTTTACGCAATTAAAGGATCTGTAACTGAATGCATGCAAGACCCATTGGTTTAATACGGCTCCCTAATTATCATCCCACTTACTCCTCTTTGATCGTTGATAAATCTGTTTCCTTTTTTCTGTGTCCTTTCTCAAAAATAAACAGACCATAATTCTTTGGTGAAGTGACTCAAACGACTGCAGTTCATTATGAGCAGATTATGATGCCCCCTGACTAGTTAGCAGGCACTTACTTGATGGCTTTCTTCTCCCCTCGCCCACGTGCAGAGTCTGGAGTGTCTGCTGTCTCTACTCCTGGCTTGTTTCTCTTCCCCTTTAGCCAAAAAACACACACAAAAGGTTAGCTTGAAACTTGTCCTTTGGAGCTGTGTTTTTACCACAATAATACGAAGAGTGCACGCCTGTCTCATTACCTCAGGAACACCAGCCCTTTACCTGATGGTCTCCTGATTAAGCTCATCAGAGTCAAATCAAATCTTCTGCTGAGAGCCATCTATAACATTATCATTCTTACCACACTTCAAATTTACATGGCAATTGCCTCTTTAAGGTAATCCAATGGAGAGAAACGCCTGGAAAGTCTTGCACCAAGCCATGATTTTAAATAGCTAGAGCGTGACCTGCCGTAACCATGGAAATAATGGCAATTTTGAAGGCTGCGGTCGACTGGAAAAGCTCATTACATACAGAGGTGTTTCACATGTGTTCCAGAGCAGGTAATCTCTATTGACACTTTGCAGGGCGGGATTAGGTATCAAGGTATAAAGCCACACAAAAAACATGGATTCCTCATTGGGATACATATCTGGGAGAGGAGGGTTTTTCTATTGCAGGAAATGAGTGGGAGGACGCGGTGCAGAGCTGCCATTGCGGTCTGGAAAATTGGATCGGAGCTTGGCTGAAGAGCAAGAAGATGTCAGGGGCTTGTTGGGTACAGGAAGGATCCGCAAATTGGAGATCCCAGGTTGCAGCGTGATTATGCATGGAGCTCAGGCTAACGCTACGGCCATGTCAGAAGGCTTCACCATAGGGAAGTTGTGCTTGGGAAGAGTTGTGCTGTGTCACAACTTTGTCAAAAAGTGAGAGGTAGTTCAGTCCACTATTAAAGATGCACTGTGTAAATTGTCCGGTGGAGGGTCTGTCACCTGCTTGTCTTCATGGAGATGTGCCCAGAATGGTCCGCAGTACGGCCTTAAATTTAAGAATCTCCATGGAGACTTGCAAGCCAAATTACAGGTTAGATTTGTGGAGCGGAGACCCCACTCACAGCAAGAATTTAGGTTTTTAAAGATATTTTTGAGCAATTACAATAACACATGTAGTTGAATAAATGCAAAACAAATTAGTTTAATACAATACTGTGGACAATTTAAAGGTGCACAGTATGACATGAAACAGCTTTACTTTACATTTATTTATTACAGGTAGCTCAAAAATACCTAGAAAAACAGGCATTCTGACTGAACAGGGTTGCCTCTGCACAGATCTGACCTGTAGCTTGGTCTGGTTTGGTCTTCATGAAGATAAAAAGGTTAAATACCATACTGTGAAACATTCTAGACAAAGCAATGACATCTCCATAGAGAAAAGCATTTGATGGACGCTCCACCAGAAAAATTACACAATGCACCTTTAAACCAAAGGAGTAACAGCTCCATGGAGACTGGTTACGGACCATCTCCAGAGAAGTTGGGGTTAAGGTTACACAGTGCACCTTTAAACAAGTGTTGTGAAACTCGTGAACTTAATAACCTTAATAAATGCATGGCCACATAATAAAGCATAAATATTACATGATTAATATTCTGGACTCCAGTGACATGGGTTTTGGCAGAAAAAGCACTCAGTATTATTAACAATCACTCTACTTGGTGAAATCTGTATATTTTTCAACCCTGTAATTATAATTAACAGTTTGTTCTGAAATATATTGTGAAACAAAAGACTGAAATCACTAAAGGTGTAGACTTGTTTGAATATGAGCACTGTGAACTGCAGGGGCTTTAAAGAGCCCATATTTTCTGATTTACAATATTATTTCCTCATCAAAAAATATACCTGGAGTTTTTGTTTTGTTTCATTCACACATGTTTAAAACACAAATGTTCTTTGCTCAAACAGAAAACATCTGTAGGATCATTTGGATAATTTCATTGCTCAAATTGCAAATATCTATCAAACAAATGGTAAAATGTAGCCGTTAACTTGAAAACTACAACCTCATGACATCACAAGGTGGAACAGAGCATTATGAGTTTTGGAGATGTAGACAGACTAATGATTAAGGATTACTCAAGTAAGTGTGAACGAAACAAAACACAACTCCAGGTATGTTTTTCATGAGGTAACAACACTATAACATGGCTAAAGGTTCACCAGAATCAACTTCTAGGACCTTTAACAATTGCTCTACTCTGTGAATCTGTATATTTTTCAAACCTATAATTATAATTAACAGCTTGTTAAAAAAAATAGAGTGAAATAAAAAAAACTTAAATCACTGAAGGCAGGTTGGTGAACCATGTGCATGCCTTCGGTTCACAGGAGCCTTAACACCTGACAACACTGGGGTTGATCTGAGCTAAAGAAAGTAAATGAGTAATACAACCTGGAAATACCACTGTACATGCCAAGATAGCCTTGAGAAAACTAAGGGAAATCACCATTCTGTCAAGGGAGTGTGTCAGGTCCACTTTATAATGTATGCAGGAACTATAGATAGAATTGCAAATTGTGCCACTCAAGCTTGAGGCAAATATGCCCAAAATAAAATATGCATTCAAACTGCAGTCCAGAGATAGAACAGCTGTGTTTCCATCATCTGCAACTGCAACAGATTCAGGCAAAACAAATGGGAAAATACTAATCTGCAAACACATTCAATTAAATAACACTTTACTCATCAAGTCATCATAATTTTATTTAAGAGGGCCTTTCAGAAGACACACAAAACAGGTACAATCACATACAAACAAAGCAACATTACACACTGCTTTAAAATGAATGCTGCTGATCATAAAAGGTGGTCAGACAGAGAGAGAGAGAGGGGTAAAAGTCAGTCTAGACACTCTTTTGTGATCAGTTACTTAAGGCAGATGTGTCGTGTTGACAAAATGAGCCTTTTCTTTTTGAAGGTTTAGTGTCACAATGTTTCATGTGCTTTTAATCACAGAAAAAAATATTGCTAGGGATTTGCTTTGTGATTTTTTTTAAAAATTCAAACTAAGATTAAAAACCTAAGAGATATATTAATCAAAGATGAAAGTCTTTTTAAAGTTGCATTGCATAACTTTTCTGGTGGAGTGTCTGCCAGCTTCTTGTCTCCAGGGAGATGTCATTGCTTTGCCAGGAATGCTCCATGATATGACAATACAATAATAATACAATAATTCTTTCTGTGCATGGGGGAGACTCTTCACAGCTCTGACTTGTAATGTCGCATAGTGCTGTAACCTGCTTGTCTCCCTCGTAAGAGAGAGGTTTAACCTGTACAGTGGAACATACTAGACACAGCAATAATATTTCCATGGAGATATCAGGTGGCAAACCCTCCACTAGAAATGTTACACCGTGCACGTTTAACCCAATATTATACATTTAATCTGTTTCAGTTCAGCAAACACTAGTTACTTTACAACAATGATCTCCATTTTGTAGGTTTACCCCTGTTAAACTTTAATAGAAACGCATATAATTTACATTTCTTGTTTTGCAGAGTGAAACACACCCTCGACCACTGCTAAAACTGCTATAAACCGCAGTCTGCAACATCCATTCTGCACTGAAAAGATAAAGCCCGTAAAATGATATTCATCTGCACACAGGGAGACAAAGCAGCTTTCCTATTGTGCCATCACCTGAAATAGACTGAGCCACAAATGAACAAACACACATCTGATAGAGGAGACTAGTCAAACAGCGTCTAACTGTGGTTTATGGACCAACTCTTGTCCGGATAGAGAGGCCGTATGTACTGACAACATCATGCAAATGTGTTGAGAAAGCATTTAGAATCTTTTATGGACGCTGTACGCCTGTCCAAGTATGTTATCACAGGCTGACATGCATGATAAATAAATGTAATGACAGCCCATCTACAGAGAAAGCTCATATAAAGGACATAAAGGAGACTATACAACGCCAATGCAATTTCCGGGGAGCTAAATGTACTGCACAAAAATCATATACATAAAATACTACGCTCCTATTAGTGAGAAGTATGTCGTCCCTGCTGAACTGTTACTATGACTGCACGAAGCATATGGGCAGGGTCATAGTGTGCTGTCATGATATAAAAATGTCAAACTCTTTCAATATTTCACTCAATATTTGAGTTTGATGCCATGGTGAAGATAAAAGTAGAATGCACAAATATCACAAAATAAAACAACTTTCTTTAATATCATCATTTGGTCTTAAATAGATTACATTCAGACCTGCTGATTGCATCCTGAATCTATCCAAGAAAGATCCAACTATAGACTGTATAAGGAAGTGGACTAAGGGAGTGTGATGTCACTCATAGCGTTTGGCTCCAGTCAAATGAAGCTCACCAAAGCTTGCAGCTATAGGAGTGTATTTGGAGCTGAGTTTTATATTAGGAATAGGAATTTATTAATGGACAAAATAGCAAAATAAAAACACCTAGATCATGCAGAGTAGGTTAAGACGAACTTTTTAAGACCCAAAGATGAGGCTTACTGCAATTAGAGAGAGGAGAGGAGATGGTTTTTCAATGTAAAATCAATTGGAGCCAGAGTCAATGGAACCAGAAGCTCCAACATGCTCATTTACTATTTGGAATGCAGCAGCTAGCAGGTTAGCTATATCCATTTATATGTAGTCTATGGATCCAATTTGTCCAAAATTGGCAAAGGAAAAATTTAATTTTTCAACTGGACAAAGTTGACAAATTGTTGACAAAAAATTGAAGAAGCAGCTTGGATGAGCTGTGAAACGTATTTGACATAATAAACTTTGTCCAGCTGACAAATTTAATTTCTCCTTTGCCATGGATTCTACCTGGACGACTGAGGGATTTTACACACACCTTTTGTCCAAAATTGTAATTTTCTTCAACATTGATACATGTTCAATTGGGTATCTAGTTTTAGTATTAATTAGTATGTTTATTTCTAATTATTGCTGATAGGTTTTACCCAGAATTGCAATGAGAGCAAATTTTGAACCAAAAATCTTTCAGTAGTTGGGTAAACCAACAGCACAATCATTGAAACTATTTTAGAATTGTTTCAAGACACATTTCCTTATTAATTTGAGATGGCCTGTGATACTCACTTATAACATTCAAAA